CTAATAACTGTGTAGGGAAACTCTGTTTTTAAAAAATATTTGCCTCAGAAAATTAACATTGATCTGCATATTCCAAACACATTAAAATGAGGTAAAAAGTAAACAAGTAAGATGAAACTATTATGAGTCATGATCTATTCATCGGGACAATTGGTAGATATGGTACTTTAGTATTACTTTTACATTACAAAATAAAATATTATAGATTTGAAGTGATCGTTTTAGTGTATAAAAGCGTATTTAATAGCGTCGGATCTAAGCAAAATCAGATCTAAGTAAAGATTTGAAAACTTTCTTGATGCAAGTCGATGATGGAGACGAGATGTGTGATAGTGGTTAGCATGATGACGGAAAAAGAAGCATAAACTGGGAGAAGAAATGAAGGAAGAGGATTACTGGGATTTCTGAGAGAGAGACATTGTAGAATCTCTTGATCTCATTTTATTTATGAATTCATCATAAAAATTCTATGATTACATTATTTTTCTTGATAGAATCCATTGTCATATTATTTTTTTTTGTAATTTTATATAAAAATTAAGGCGAATTACATTAACAGTTTCTATAGTTTGGAATTCTTGTCACTTTGGTCTTTAACTTTTTAATTGTAACACATTTTGACCATAAATTTTTAATCTTATTCCAACTAAGGACAACTGAAGCATACATTACTCATTTCAAAGGGCAAAGTCTTTCAATTTGATAAAATAATAAATTAATTTGGACAAAAATAAATGTCAAAAAAATATTTTTGAATTTTTAAAAAATTATTTCTACCCACTAAAGATAAAATTATGTGAAATTGATAAATCTTTTAGACAATTATTTAGTTATTTATTTATTTTACAAATTAATTTTTATTATGTATTTGGATGATGATCATGTAATGGGTGATTATTAGACTTTTAATGTGTAATCAATAAATATGAAATGTTTTTAGTTTTAGATTTTTTGATTTAATGGATTGGTTTAATAATGATATCAAAGTTGCATCCATATTTGACTTTTCGAAAAATAAAAACTAATTTAATGGAAATAAAACAACCACCTATTACATGATAATAATTCAAACATATAATAAAAATTAATTTGGTAAAAATAAATAAATATCTAAAAAAATTTATTAATTTTATATAATTTTATCCTTAGTGAGTACAAATAATTTTTTTAAAATATTTTTTTCACATTTATTTTTGTCAAATTAGTTTATATTTTATCTAATTGACGACTTTACCTTTGAAATTGAGTAATGATATCTTCAATTGTTCTTATTTAGAACAAGATTCAAAATTTAAGATCAAATATGTCGCAATTAATAAGTTAAAAATCAAAGTAATACAATGCCAAACTATAAAAACCGTTAATATAATTCGCGGTAAAAATTAGGGGTTTTTTTTTAAGGTCCTTGATCTTATGATTTTATAGCATAAAGGACATCAAAATATTTTTATGATGTCTAAGGTCCATCAACAATATTTTCATAATGTCTTAGGTCCCTCAACCTTGATCCAGAGAAATTTCAGTCCAGAGAAAATTGGTCCAGAAAAATTCAGTCCAGAGAAAATTGATCCAGAGAAATTTCAGTCCAGAGAAAATTAGTGCAGAAAAATTTCAGTCCAGAGAAAATTGGTCAGAGAAATTTCAGTCCAAATTTCTCTGGAAAATCTAATTATTCTCAGAATTTTATGCAGAGGGAGCCACACATACCACCATGCTATTTTTGGTGAATGTTTGTGCACTGATAATCAAGAAATGTCTTTTTTCATCTTGAAGAAGTTTACGAATGATTTTTTTTTGTTTCCCCTTCCCTTTTATCACTTGATGCAAGTTCTTCCATTTCCTAAGAAAAAACAATGTATTGGCTGTTAAATTCAAAATTCTTTCTACCATTGTGTTTTGTATACAATTCGTGGCCTTTATATTTCGCTTCAGTCTTCCATTAATGGGAGAGTTCTGCAACTTCTTCAGCGCCGAATCATGACCATTGTCATCATCTCACGTCACGAGAAAATTGGTCCAGAGAAATTCTGGGAAGAATTTCTCTGGACCAACCCTAATAAAATTTAGTTCAAAAATCAAAGAATTTCTCTGGTTTTCAACCTAGAGAAAATTCATTCAAAAACCGAGAATTTCCTGTTTTCAACTTCAAATGAAAAAAAAAAAATTCAATTGGCAATTTGGAACCTGGAATGCTTAATTTGAAACCCAGAGAATTCTCTTGACTAGCATTGCTATTGCTTGTGGTGAATCCAACACAACTGCAATTGTTCCAGCACTTTTCCATACAATCGCTAATGCTTAAGCCCGAATTATCGTCACGGTCACTGGATTCGGCCGAGTTGGAAGTGAAGGTCGGAGCAATAATGAGATGAAAAGGACTTTTACTTGACTACTTTGCCTCTTGTAGAAAACAGAGATGCTGAGGTTTTGAACTCCAGTTTTATCTTTGTTCGACATCTTCATCAACCTCTATATCAGTAACTAAACAGCACAATATGCTGCACAAACTTTATTACCAAGAAACAACAACAATACCAAAAGCATACATATACAAGACACATCATTTGTGTAGTTGACAGATATAATACAAGCTGTAGAAGGGGAAATTGAATCAATTAGACTCAACTAGTCAGAGAAAATTCGATTTCTAGAGACTCTAGACGAATTTTCTCTGGACTTACAGAGAAATTCTAGTTTACAGAGATTTTCTCTGGTCCAATTTTCTCTGAACTTCACATTTCACAGAGAATTTCTCTGGTCGAATTTTCTCTGGACATCACAGAGAAATTCCTCTTCCATTTCTTGTTCTTTTGCATCTTGCTTCCCAGATTGATCATCACACTTGTTCATTGTAAGGTGCAAATCTAAAGCATTAGGGACAGAAGAGTAGGGAAAGTGTATGAAATAGACTGTAAAAGCTTGACGGAATAGTAGGGAAAACAGGGGATGACGAATTAAAATGAAATTGAAGGGGTTCAAGAACTTGAAAACCCTAGAATGAGAAAGTGTATGAAAAGAGGGAGGAGGAAGAGGAACCTCCGTTGATTATCGCCCTACATGTCCACAATTCCACTTCTTGGAGACCAATTAAGCATTCGACGAACGATGAGAGTGATGATTCATCGCCGATTGCATAGCAGCTTCGCAATTGGAGTTTCTTGAGCTGTTTACAACTCCTCCAGAGCCAACTGAGGCCGTAATCGCAGTGTTGAACCCCGGACAAACCTAGGGTTTCTAAATTGAAGTTTGGTTTCGGAGTTTCCGATCATTGAATCGGTCAAATTGAGTTTGTGTAAATTGATTGTCCAGTGTTGAAGACGATCGAGAGGTCTTTCAGTGAGTGGAAAGAGATGAGCCAGTGAAACTTTCATCTGATATATGTTTAGGGACCTTAGACATCAAAAAAATAATTTTGTGGATCTCTTCCATTACGAAAAGTGGAAGAGGGACCCTAGACCGATTTTCCCTAAAAATTATGTATTCACTTTTTATTTATTTTTTTTGTATGTATTTTTTGTGGTAGTTTATGAACCCACACCGCATCCTTTTTTGTTTGTCTTGTTGTTTGATTGTCTACCTTTTTATTTTAGCTTGAATTTTTGTGGCCAATGATGTTCTTCAATGCTACAAAAGGTCTAATTTTCTGAGTTAGGAGGGGATTGGTCTCGTTTAGTTAGATGATTGCAACTCATTAATTCACCACGATAAAATAAGTTAAAATGTTAATAAAATAAAAATTATATTTAATTTATAATAATTTTTATTTTTTTGCATAAAATTATAAAAAAAATAAATCAAAAGTTTATCTTAAATGAATTTTTTTTTAATAGAGTAAAATAGTTAAAAAAAATCCAAAAGTTAGGTCACTAATGTGAAATTTTGAAGATGAAAGTTATCTTACAATAAATAAATAAAAAATTATGTAATTACTATTATCATATATAATCAAAAGTTAGGTTAAAAAAATCTATTGACCGTTACTAGTACGGATCTTTGAAGATGAAATTTATCTTAAAATAAATAAATAAAAAGATATGATTTTAAAAATGTTTATATTAAATAATTATGAAAAATTATGTGATTATAATTATATATACAACAACGCTAGAGGGCCACAATTTTTGTGGTCACAATGGCTCAAAACTGTCAAAACGACGTCGTTTTGGCATGTTTTATACCAAAAACGACGTCGTTTTGACAGTTTTGCGCCATTATAGCCATAAAAATTGTGGTCCTCAAACATTTTCCTTATACATACTTATATAAGGTTTAAAAAAACAAATTAATGATCATGAAATAATACCGATGGTGAATTGTGTGACATGAAAACATTGATAGCAATACAGGGGAAGTTTCACCGGGCAATAATGATTCTGAATTTATAGTAAAGTTTTATTGTGTGTTAGTTGCGGTTGGTTCCCAAAAACAAAAAACAAAAAAAAAAAGAAAAGAAAAGAAAAAGAAAGTTAAAATTAAGAAATTTGACTGAAACAACTAAAAAGTTCCAAGACAAATCGAGATTGAATATAAAAATACAAAAAAAGTTTGAAATCCCAAAAATCACTTAAATACATAATGATGTGGCAGGTTAAATATCCAACAACTCTTTTACTATAGCCTATTTTGGAAAACAAGAAAAAAATTATTTTTTTGATTTTTTTTTTAAAAATATATAAAAATAAAAAAGTGATATGACTCAAAAATAACAAAAAAAAAAAAAAAAATTTAACTTTTAATCTAATTGCCAAAATAAGCCATGTGAACATTTTCACAAACTTCTTTTATTATCTCAAAATGTCCACAACAGTTGCCACTAAAATATCTATCTATCTTATGGACTTCCAAATTTTCAAATTTTCCTCACATCACATGACAAATTTTCAAATTTTCATATGTTAAAATTTTAATTTTAATAAGAACATATTTATCATTTAAAAAATTTATATATATTATAATATTAATTTATTTATTATTTATTTTATTTTTACTTATCTAAATTGCATATGCACGTCCGTCGCTCACTGGTATATGTGTATATGAACAATACTTTTCTCTTCACGACCATTCCTTCTTGTCTAAATAATACCCCAAAAATTCACTCTGTACAGTTATCTCATAAAATCAATGATTGCCACCACCAAAACTTCAATCCAGGCAGCCATAGAAACAAACTATGACAGAGCGCAAGAGCTAAAGGCTTTTGATGACACCAAAACTGGTGTCAAAGGACTTGTTGATGCTGGGATTGCCAGAGTCCCAAAAATTTTCATTCAACCACCAGACAATCTCAACAAAACCACCAATCCAAGCAATACCCAGTTCAGTTTTCCAATCATAGACCTTACTATCATCGACAAAGATCCGATCCGGCGGAAGGTAGTCATCGATGAAATCTGCGAGGCTGCGGAGAATTGGGGGTTCTTCCAGGTGGTGAACCATGGTGTTCCAGAGAGTGTGTTGGAGGAGATGAAGAAAGGTGTTCATAGGTTTTATGAGCGGGACAGTGAGGTGAGAAAAGAGTGGTATACTAGAGATGTGAAGAAAGCTGTGGTGTATAATAGTAATTTTGATTTGTTTAGTGCACCAGCTGCTAATTGGAGGGACACTTTCAATTGTAGTATGGCTCCTAAACCCCCAAATCCAGAGGAATTGCCCCCTCCTTGCAGGTATGTTGTGAATATATTATATGTTTGGTTGAGTTTTCAACAATTAGGTTCGTGAAAAAAAAAAATAGAAATAAAAAAGCATTCATTATTTTATATGATTTTCTCTTCTATGGGGGTGAATATATTTGGAAAAATAACTAGTAAATTCAAGATGAGAGGTGTGTTGGGCGATAGGTCTAATGACCGAACTTATTTGGCAAGGACACGAGCCGAAAAGTTGTGCAAAATTTGTTAGAAAAGTCGTCAGTAACTAGTGGACAGTGGTCGACTGTGGCTACTGACGACAATTGGTGGTAGTGAATTGAATAAATATGTGACATTTGTATATATAGTGACATATTTGAACAGATAGTTGCACTGATGGATAAGATTGTGCACAAATAGTGAGATATTTGAATAGATGTACAGACAAGTAAATTTTTTAATCGATAGGTGTTCGCTTGGTTAAATAATATTCTTTTAGGGGAAATAATATGGTGCACATTTTTCAAAAGATGCATACCATATTTATTTTATAACTAACAAGAAAAGTAACATAACTTTAATTTTTTTTCTAAAATTAATTTATAATTTATAATTAAATTTTTCCACCCGCTCAAAACTCAAGTAAACAAAATCTCATAAACTATTTTAACTCGTAGATCCATTGAGTGGATCTCACATGTTATTTTTGTGGATCACATTTAAAGTTTTATTACTTCATGTTATGATCGCGAGCAACAGTAGTTTCGCCTTATTTGACGCTTTATAGTGTTTGTTTTGAAATTTGTGGCGGAGTGTCTCCTTTTTTAAACTGCAAAAAAGGAGTGCTCTTTGGATGTACTATTTCACGTCCTGGGCTCTGATTTATGAGCTAGATTTATCTCAATTTAAAGGAGGAGACCATCATCGAGATGAGCAGAGAATGTATTAACTTGCAGTACAAGAGACTGAATTCCGAGTGAAACATAGTACAGTCAGGTTTGTTAGTGTATGATTATGTCTGTTAGTGTATAGCTAGTGTATGATTATGTCTGTTAGTGTATAGTTTTAGCTTTATATTTTATAATGTACAATGCATCACACTTTTGGTGGGCATCCAATGCTCAAATTCTCTCTATAAAAGAGAGTGCATTCCCCGTGTAAGAAATATATAATACAATATTCAATACACAATTCTTTCTCTTTCTACATAAAACTATCATGGTATCAGAGCCATAAGATTTAGGCCTATATTTCTTTCTCACCGGCGGGCAGTCGGCCGGCAACCTTGCCTTCACTGCCCGTTGGAATTTTCTACACATACCTTCACTCCGCTGCATCTTCAACTCGTTTCCATGGACACGACTATCAGCATCAGGAGATGGAAGGGTCCTTGGTCCTTGGACCGGAGAAAGACTCTAGAGAGCAGCCACAATCGGAGTTACTCTCCCTTCCGCCGCCTTCTGGGTTTTCACTGCCACGAATCACAAGAAACAAATTGAGTCCTTCACTTCAAGGATCGAATGGCTTGCCATTTCCAAGCAATATTCAACTTCGGCGATTCTAATTCTGACACTGGCTGGCGTCTCAGCCAGTGTTTGGTCGTCTCTCACCTTCCCAACGGCTGTTCCTTCTTCGGCAAACCCTCTGGCCCTCTATCTCAATGCATGTTTCTTGCTTTGGATGTCTGAATGCGTGATTCAAGTATGGCTGACAGGATAGGCATGATTCTCCAGCCCAGAACAAACTGCTTCAATCAGATCTTGAGGATGCAATTACACTCACCAAAGCTCTTTCTCTCTCGTCTAATAATCAACCCACATTGCCCACATGCCTCAAGATATTTCCCTTTACATCAAAAACCACTCCTACGCACTAAACATTTATTATTTATTTCTTTCCTTTGTTTTTATTTTCTTTCACTTTCACATGCCCCAAGATATTTCCCTTCACAAAAAAAAAAAAAAAAAAAAAACTCCAACGCACTACATATTATTATTATTTTTTCTTTTGTCTTTTATTTCTTTTTAACTTTCTTTAATTTTTTCTTTCTTATTTCTTGTTAATTTTTGCCTTTTTTTTTTTTTAATCAATCCCTCAGCATTGATAAAGCCTCCGTTGGGAAGTGGGTTGGCTTTTGGTTTTTTGGGCTTTTTTGGCCTATTTTAGCCTGGGCTTAAAAGCTTGGTTTGGGAAGGGCCTTTTTTGCTTTTTGGCTTTTTTGAGTTTTTCTTGTGAGAGAAGAATGTAATGATTATGGGTTGGATGTGATGTTTTGTTTGTTATGGCTAAATAGCCTTTTTTGTTTTTTGTGGCTAAAAATAGCCAAAAAAAGCCTGCCAAACCCACTGCCAAACACAGGCAAACTCTTACTACAAAGTTATATAATTGCTGTTTTTTTAATCCAAGGTGGTCTTACAATTCCAGCTACACACACCTCTCTCTCACCCACGGCACTCACAGCAGAACAGCTCACTTTACACACACACCCCACGGGATTGACACACATGCACTTTCATGATGACATATATAGATTTTTTTTTTTAAATCAACCCACCGATCCCTCCATTCTTCCCGTGGTTCCCTTTTGTTTCTTCTCTCAACCGACCCCACTTTCATCATAATACCCTCATTTGGCCGATTAATTTCTTCCACCCACAGCAACACACGGAATTATGCTTTCCCAACACATTAAAT